ATTAGATACATCACAAGATGCCTTTAATTTAACTCATTAGTCCTTTAAAACTGAGAATGATAAGCAGCAATTATTTTTTTGACAAACCAAAACAATATCAAAGTTCACTGTCACCAAATGTATGTCTTCCTTACAATAAAAGCCAACCACGACTTTTGAACATCAACATTCAAAAAGTCTAACACTATACTGTTTTCGCTCTTTTAGTAGATTGTGTAACCTTAGCTTTGCTCTTTTTTTGGCAGCATTTTCTGTTGAGGACATGGCCTTTTCTAACAGTTTGAGCTGTTTGTCAGTGAACGATTTTCTCTTTTGTCCTATTTTCTCCAAGCTTTGCATTGCTAGGCCTCACTTGGTCTTAGCAGTGTCAAGCATCACTGTGGCTACATTAACAGTTTGTATGTTGACAGCTGTTGCTGAAAAGGCATCATGTAGCTTCGATGTTGCAGCACTCATTAATTCATCAGCCTCTTTTAAGTCTACTTTTACCACTTCTTTCTCTTGCATCAAAGTATCCTCTCTATCTTGGAGGGACTGTCTTGATTTAGCCGTCTCTTTTTTAGCTTTCTTTCTTTCGGTCTCCTTCTTCTTTTGTTCAGCTTCCTCCCTCTTCCTCTCATCTTTTCGTTTTTCTGCCTTTAGTCGTGCCTGATATGCAGTGTGAGCTGATTGTACAGATCTCTTCAACTCTCTTGTGATTGCAATGTTCTCAGGTTGACCATTAACTGGATCATAAAACCTGACTGCCTCCTTTACAGTGTGCAGACCTGTAATTAATTGTAACTTCTCCTAGTGCTGACCTCTCACTTGTGACAACTCTTGCGTTTACCTACAGACTCCTTTTAGACTCAGCATTTGTTTGAGCAAATACAAGTACGGATTTGATCACTAGGGGCAGACACTGATATCGACTGTTACCATCACTTCACTTTGGCAGGAACAGAGCATTCCAGTAATGATCAACCCACTGCTTAGTTTCAAGTTCAAATACCTCTTGATCTGCTTGTAGCAATTTCCACTCATCCAGCGCAGATGAGATATAAAGCTGAGGCTGAAGTCTATTCGAAAGATTCTGGATGGAGGAATCTGTGGATTTCTGGTGCCTTTTGAGGGGATCTAAGCAGCCAAGATCTCTTAAGAGCTTATTTCCGAGGGGTAACCATGACCAAAGGTGGGATACTGTGGTAACATAAAATCCTCTCATAAAAGCTTCAAACTGGTCTGTTTTGACATGAAGTTTCCATTTTTTGCAGAATTTATCAATTTTATTGGCAATTTTATTTCAAATATTTCAAAACGTTTCTGTGCACTTAGTAATACGTACCCTAGAAAAATAGGAAAAACTAGGAATTTCATGAAAAAATAGGAGAAAATAGGAGGCAGGCCAAAAAAGATAAGAAAACAATAGGAAATTGACACACTGCTAACAATATCACACCCTAATCAAGTACTCAGGTCATAAGAATAAAGGAAATGATGCACAACTAAAGCAGCTCTTGACTGTTTAACAAATTCTACTTATCAGCATCTTAGGAAATGTATCCTTAACAGTATATGGAGCAGGGCTTGACACTAATGGTAGCCCACAAGCCAGAGACTAGTAGAAACTCAGTTATGACTAGTGGTCTTCAATTTCCACTAACCAGTTTGGCTAGTATAAACAGACTGGAATTGTCATAACATCTAAAAACATCTAAGATGTCACTAGCCACTTGGCTAGTAACTTAAAAAATTACTGTCGAGCCGTGATGGAAAATATGCGTACTGATGTAAGGGTGTTAATTTAGATTAGAGAATTATGACAGTGGCACAGTAATTAAATACAGTAAAAATGACCAACTGACTAAATGAAAAGGAAGTCTTTTAAAGACAATGACTAAAGGAAGCATTTTTTAATAAAAAACATAGACATATGATAAAGTGAAAAACATTGAACACTCTCAATAAAAAAAAAATATCAAAGCTTAAAAAAACTTACCACCTGATTTGTTCACAAACATCCACATGAAAAGGAAAAACATGGAAGCCAATGGAATAAAAAAAACATTTTTTAACAAAATCAATTTATCTTTATTAAGGATGCTGTTATTATAATTAACCATTCACTGACACCTACGAGTACTTGTATTTGGTTCCTCCTAACAATATCCCACCTTAATCAAATACTAAAGTCATAAGAATAAAGGAAATGATGCACAACTAAAGCAGCTCTCGACTGTTTACCAGATTCTCCTTGTCAGCATCTTAGGAAACGTATCCTGAACAGTATGGAGAATATGCATACTGATGCTAGGCTGTTAATTAAGGTTAGAGAATTAAGACAGTGGCACAGTACTTAAATACTGTAAAAAAGCTAAGACCAACTGACTAAATGAGAAGGAAGTCTTTTAAAGTCAATGACTAAAGGAAGCATTTTTAATAAAAACATTGACCTGATAAAATGAAAAAGATTGAACACTCTCAATAAAACAAAATATCACAGCTTCAAAAAGCTTACCATCTGATTCATTCACAAGCATCCACATGAAAAGGAAAAAGATGAAAGTCAATGAAATAAAAAGAACATTTTGTAATAAAATCAATTCATCTTCATTAAAGATACTCTCAACCCAGTCGGTGTGCGCACTCTGATTACGTTGCATCATGGTCCTATAACAAACATTGTCTCATTTGTATCTTGACGAGTCGGAGTGAACATCTCTGGTGGTAGGGAGATAAAGCGTGAATACACGTGGATTGTAATGGGGATTCACTGTCTGTTGCCATTCCTTCGAAAGATAAACATTTGACAGGCCTGTGCGACTCCTGTCATTCCTCTGTGATGAATTTGTTCTTAGAAGGCAACTGACGTTATTTAGAAAGATTCAAAACTGCAATCTGCCAAAGAATCTCGACACAAATGGCAACAGTTACACTCACAACCGATGGTGGGATGAATAATTTCAAAGTCAGTAATTATATTCCTAGACGCGAGTTATTCACCTGTGAACTTGACATGCAAACGCATATTAGAGAGATAGACTTTGTAATAGACGAACTTTTTCCACCAAGTGTAAATACAGAATTTGTAAAAGGATAAGCCCCGCGCCTCCTACAAATGAACGAATTTGTCTAGCTCCACATTAAGTAAAATTGTACAGAATTTCAAAATAGTCTTCGAGAATAGAGGAAACCTATATGAGGGTTTTGAGAAACGTATCTCTGGAGTTATTACTTCAGGAGAAAAGTATACTCTGAAACAAAGAAAATAGTGTGCACACAGAAGAACATATTGCCTTTTGTAACACAATCTCATCCAGCTTTGCCAAACCTCAAGAATACACAGATGAAGAATTATGACACCTTAAAACCAACCCTTATTGTCACATTGCAAAGGAAAGTTCTCTGAAGATATCCTAATAAGAGCTAAACTTTAAGGGTAGAAGATTTAAAAGTGCTAGCGAATGGCAGGAGACACACAGGCCTATCAACACCTTTCAACGGTCGACTGCCTTTTGCTTTCTGGCTT